AAGTTGCGATACTCTAATGTGATATAACCAGAAAGAAAAATTATATCTGAAATGTTATAACAAAATTTTAAAGCTTCACCGCAAGTATTTATTAATTTTTTACACTCAGTTGAGCATGGAATTTCCACAACTATTTAAACGTTAATTGCCGCGTGGAGAATGCGTTTTTGTGGTTGTGTTATCGGAAAACTTAAGCGACTATCATTTAATCGAAGATATCAAAGCGTGGTTAATAAAAATTTCTACCATGAATGGGTAATAGAGCAATTATTTCAAAATATATGAGCAAATAAATTAATAATAAATATAGGCATGCATATGTATATCTGTATATATGAATATGTATTGTACATATAATTAAATTTTTGCAGTAACTGTTCATGAGTTGTCTAATTAAATAGATAATCTCTTCTAATTCCTCCATATTAATTATAGCTTAATTTATTTTAATATTAATATTTTTTATTATTAACATTAGATTTGCATATTTTCGCTTCTAACTTCCCCTTCATGAATATTCATGAAGTGTCTAACATTGCATTTGGCTGCCTGTTACAATACAATTATTGCATAATATTTGCATTTAAACTGCACTTTTAGGTATCTGCAATAAGTGCATCTGCTGTGTAATTACACAATATTTTGTTTATTGCCACATATGAGCACAATGAATGCAACACACACAGCACACAACTGTGGTACTTATAATTTCGTATATTAAAAGCGCAATTAATTTAGCAATAATAATGGAAACCTAAATGGAAGAGCGTGGAGTAGAAAAAAGCATTGCCAGCAATTAAAAATGCACTCGTACGTTTAATGAACAAACTGGAAAACTGAAAAACTGAAAAACTGCAAAACTGTAGCATGCAATTTATTAACTCTTACGAGCCACGCAATACGCGCTTCCTCGAAACCTCTTCAGCCGTTCCTCACAATCCACTAAACTGTCTAACTGTCCGTCTAGTCTAGTGCATAGTACTTGCTAAGTATCTATTAAGTTGTAATCTGGTTTTTGTCTATAAATTTGTTCAACAAACTTAGTGACTGAGTGACTGTGAAAATATGTCGAGCGTTTAATTAAAAAATTATAAAATGAAAATCGAAAATTGTAACGAGGAAGTTTTTGATTGAATTTTGTTTTGTTGAATTACTTAATTAAAATTGTTAATTAAGCCATTTTTGAATTTCAAAATTACTGAATTAATTTTTGAAAAATGTTTTTGTTTTTTTTTTTTATTACTTTTATATATATAAATTTAATAAAAATTGTTATTAATAAGCAAATAGGAAATAATTGCTACCAATAAAAATGCATTGATGATAATTGCTTCAATATTAATTTAATTTATTTTCCAAATTTTAATTGAATTTTTATGCAATTAAATATTTTTATATTTTTACGCTTGTTGAGCTCAAAACCATAATTTTTATTAAATATATTTTAAAGGAAGCAATTAAATGTGCATTTATAAAATTATTGTGCTACTAAATTTGTTAAAATCAGTTTATGTTTAGATAAAAATGTAGTTTACTCTTCACTTTTCACAAAATGTAATAAAATTGTTGAATTTTTTTATAATATCTCAGTTATTATTGAAGTAGATTATTATGGATAAATAAATCTTTATTTCAATATTAAATATGTTGAAATAAACGTAATTAAATAATAAACTTCAGACGAATCAAACAGCAGTAATATCAATGATAATATATTTTTATTAGTTCTTAAAAATCATTTTGAAGACGAGGTTTGTACAAAGATATAATTATCACATGATAATACTCTTGGCAATTTTAGCTGTCAAAAATTTTCATTTTGCATTAAAAGCAACAACAATTGACAGTTAAAATTACAAACAAAACTCTCATGTGAACACGGTATAACACACAAACATTTTTTTAAACTTTTTGTTATTGTTTGTGTTATAATCTCTACTATGTTATGTAAATAAAAAATATATAGATGGCACAGAGCCTAGTGCTAATATCCATTTTACATGAAAATTTAACATAAAACTCCATTTGGCAATGCTTGAAACAGCTATGTAGTCATCCATCTTAAAATTCAATTAATTAAAAATAATAAAATCCTTTTTTTATAATTCACTGCTATCACTAAAATTTACTACTATTAAGTAAAACTGTCATAACCGTCATAACTAAGATTAAAATTCATATAAAACTCTATGTACAATTGTTTCTTGCAATGTCAATAGATGTCAATTGAATTTTGTCAAACAGAAGATATTTAGACATTATTTTTAGGATTTTCCAATATTAGAAGAGAATGAGATCTAGTTTCTAATATTTTCCATTTGACGAAGTTCAAAGAAAACTTTGTTACCATAGACAGCACTAACTTATTGAGATGATGCCCATCAGGATAATAATATAAATCGATTAAGTAATTTTCACTGTCCATCTATCTGGTTATATATCTATCATTGAATATAAATGTACATTTGCATGTCGGTCTAAATATCAGTCTGACTACATGTCTATGTGTTTGTCTCTCTATTTATCTATTGGTAGATAGACTACAGTTTCAGTTTTTCAGTTTTGCAAATTTGGTACATTAAGTCAATTGGTGTATCGAATAAGTTAAATGTCATATAATGCTAATACCAAAAAGTGTTAAAAACGAGCTTACATATATAACTATGTATGTATTTTGAATTTTAAATAAATTTTAGTATAAAGTTAGTAAAAATTAAGTAAATTGTAAATAATTGACTTGTACAATATTTATATGCTTGACGGATACTGAAGCTGTTGTAATCTAATCTAAAACTGTTTTATTTTGCTTTATAATTCGACAATTATTTATAAAAGAATAATGCAATATAATTAATATATATATATAAATTTATTATTTATACTCAAAAATAAAATTTATTTCTGTTTTAGGTTCATGTGTCGCACTTAGCCACTCACAAACTGAAACCGGTAACAAAAGTTCGAGTTGAGCAGCATTTTTGTCACAAGTCTTAATTAATTTAAACGCTTTTACAACTGCATAAATGCGTAAATCTTGCCTACTTAAAATGCAATAAATTTGTGTAATTAAAATTAAATAAAAAGCGTTGAAATAAATATCGAATTCGAGCTCAGCAACCCACGTACTCCTTCTCAACTTGAACAAAATGTGCCATAAAAATTAAACACAAAGGTCGTTTTTGACGGGTTTTCAATTAATTTTTGACAGTACTCGTTATAATTTAATTTATAATTTATTAATTCTTTTTTTTGTTGATTTTTTGCTAACAAGATTTTTTAATTACTAACGCGTGTACAGAAAACACATACTTAATTTGTTGTTTTCAATTATTTTGTCATGAATTTTTATGTCAATTATTTACTTTTCATTAAACTGGAATAGCGATTAAATATTTCAAATATTTTATTTACAGATTTTGTAATTTCAAAACAGAGTATTTAGTTTTAAATTTAGTTTTAATACAAAAAAATTGAGATCAAAAATTTATTAATTATTAGCTTTAACTTATCAACATTAAGTAGTTCAAAAAGTTTGTAAAGCGCCATCTATGTGCTAAAAATATAACTGAAACACTGACAGTATTTTATATTGTATCTTTTATAAGAATATATTGAAAATTTCATACAGGCCTTCTTTTTTTTAATAAGACATATAAAAATTGTATGTTAAAATTATCAATATGTCACAGAATCTGTTCCTTCAATAAGAATGGTCTATAGACCTAGAGATAATCCCTATTAATGATGTCCAAAAACTGTAGCAACATCTGAATTGCAAAAGTTATGTCGAAAATACATGTTAGGTTAGTTTACGTTATACCGGCGATCCAAAACGATTCATTTAGGCCTATTGTGTTGCCATATAAAGAAAACTCAGAAGTTCAAAATCACCTTGAACTTTTGGTAAAGATTAAAATATTTTTTAGTTGAATATCTTGGAGTTAGCTAATATCTTGCAAAAAGGAACCTGGTAGAATAGTAACGTGATGCCGCGTATGAGCCGCGTAAAAAACAAAGCTGATGTTAGGCACTTTTATCGAGTTCTCCACAACTACGAAAGGAATAATTCAATCCTCTAACATTGTTCTCTAATTGTCTATGATCCATGTGTAAACATATCACATGACTGTTATCTTTACTGGATATTCCAGTGAGAGTGCTGAATTTCTTGCACACAGATTTCTACATATCAGCACACAAAAAAACTCAACAACAATTTGAATGATGTCAACCATGTGCCCAGAATTTTTAGGTGTTCGGAGTGGTTTCCTGAAGCACTCCGTCTGGCTACTTCGTTTGCCTTGCATTTGATATCTCGCGATTTCTTGCTTAGAGATGAGTATAGTTCCTCAATTGATTGGGAAAGAAATAAAGGGTTAGAGAGGGAAAAAAAAGAGAGAGATAGTATTGTCCACAACTTGCTAATTTTATACCGTTATGGTTCAGAAAGCTGTACAAGACTATGAGTAACGCATTCGCTAAAAATGCAACAAAAACATATTAAAATAATACTATATTAATAATGTCCGAAGCGTTTTAAGATGTTGGACAAATTATCTCATTGAATACTTTTAATGAAAAACTTAAATACAACCCTTTGTTTTACTTTAAATGAATTTACTAGTCTTTACTAGTCGTACTAGTCTTTACTAGTTTATTTCGATATTTAGCATATTATAATTTAAAATCTGGTATGGCTGTAAGTTAAAAAAGTAAAATTATTGAAAGCATTAATAAATGTGGTAAAATAACATATAAAGCATGATGTATATAATAATAAGATATATATAATATGATATATATTTATATATAAAGTCATAGTGGTACTAAATATATTTTTAATTTATGGAAGTTTTTTATAACGAATTTTTAAAAATATATTAGCACTTGAATATTTTAAAATACCATTTTATTTGAAATGTCAAATAACTCAAATAGAAAATATAGTAGCAAGCAAATACAAATTTTGAAAAAAAAATAAAAATATATATTCCATCAACCGTGAATATCAGTTTTCAAAAAAAAAAAATACAAGATGTTTCGGAAATGGTTTGCTAGTAAAGAATCTGATGATAGTTCCAATGATAGCTTTGAGACTCTTGAAAAGATGTGCAACAAATCGGCATCTGATCCAGACAGCACCCTGCACAAATATTTATATGGTAAGACAAAAGATGGGGATGAGCGAGGTAAATTAAATAAAAAGATATCCACAGTTCAATATTTTTAGCAGTTTTGAATTCATTCAGATAACGTAAACAAAACTAGTGAATATAATTTGGACTTGAATATAAATGATGAACATACAGATCAAACAAGAGAAGATTTTAAGAATATATTTTGCGGTGACTTGACACAACTAGATGATATTGAGCCTCCAACACGATTGTGGGAGAACAGCTGTATGGATACAATTGACTCAGAGAAATCACTAGTCAAACTGGTTTGCTCAATACGTTCTTCTACATTTATTGAAGAAGGTGAGGAGTCTGAAGTATCCTGCACAAGTTATTACACTGCAAACGAAGATTCCAGTGATGAAATGAGTACCAATTTCTATACCACAGTATATGATAATTGTCAGTCTTATAATTATAACTTAACAAATGTGAAGAAACACGAATTTGCTGGAGTGGATGGCGCAGACACCCATTTAAACAAGAATGAGTTGATGAATGTATCATCAGGCAATAAAAAGGCAGATGCATTTTGTTGTGATGCGGAAGATAAAAATATTTTTGATTTTAATTTTAAGTTTGATGATTCTATTATTGATTTAGCTTCCACGGAGAAAGATACATATGATCAGGATGAAATAGATGAAATTATTAAGTCCGCGATTTCTTTAAATGCTATAAAATGTGAGTCAGAGCCAAATGAAAATTCTCAAATTGGTGTTGGAGATGTTATGCTGTCCTTAAGTTTTGATAATACTTTGGAAGAAGTTGATTACCTAATTAATCAGTACTTAGCTGAAACAAATACAGGAATTGTTGACAAACCAATTAAAAAGAAAGGAGCAGATGAAAAACAGAATTCTAAAACTGTTTATGGAGTCCATAAAACAAAAGCTAAAAGTTTGTTTCATTTAAAATAATTTTTATTTAGTTATTTATTTCTTTTATGTCCTTTCTCTAACATTAATATTTTTAGCATTTAAAAAGAAGTCAGTGTTAACAAAAGAATATCATAAACGAGCTGAAAATAAGGAGAATCATTCTGCTATAAATAAAAATAAGCCCAAACTTGATTTATTTAAAAATACCAAACCATTAGTAAGGAAAACTAACAATGAGTTTAAGGACATTGTAAGCCCAATTGGAGCATATATTCACAAAACCACAAACGCTCCACTTATGATAAATTTCAAACCTATCAACACAACATCCAACATTAACGAAGCAGCCGTTTTTAAAAATTTGGATTTCAAGTCAAATTGTATTGGCAAAATGACGACTTATGATGAGAGTGACCTTATACCGAATACCTCAACAAAATTACCGAAAAAGGCTTATATATCTTCTGATTGTAAAAATGTAAGTTTATTATATTTATAAGTCTAAGTAATAAGACCAAAAGCTTTTGTTGTCTAAATAAAGTTAGAAGACTAGATTAGATCCTTAACTATAAAACATGATATCTTTATTCTCTATATCCTTATTAAAGAGGATTGAAAAAGTAATTATAATTTACATTAAATTATAATTAAATTAAATTATTTTAGTAGGTGTTTAACATTATTAAAATTATCTCTTCATTTGGAAAATGGAGTTAAAAACTATTATGTCTAATATTATCAAAATACATTTCTTCTTATATGAAATAAAGCGACCCTACGATGTATGTCAAGAACTAACCTGTTAGTCTTAATTAAAACATATTAAAGATCTTTTTTGCGATATACTAAGTGCTTAGTGACACCAGTTTTTGACTGAAGATATAACATTCATATTGTATCAGATAGGTTATAATATAATACAACTTAACAATATAAAAATTTTCTGATCGGTTTACTATATATGGACTATTAAGCTGCATAAACCGACTCGAAACATTTAGTTTTAGTAGCATTTGTTAACTTAAACTAAAAGTTTACAGTTTTTAAAGTATAGTTAAGCGGTACTATTATGTATATAATATATATACTACATAAATGTGCTATATATCTATATAAGAACCAAATGTTAAATTTTAATTTCTTCCAGTTTTATGATGAACGACGACCAGTCAAAATTCCAGGTGGGCAAAAGATTCATAAATTCCTAGATTCCGCTACCTTGCCAGCTGTTGTACGGCATGAGGGTAAAGCTAAAATTCCACCTGGTATGCTGGGTGTATTTGCAAAAGAGTCAAAGAAAGAAGTTTCAGAACAACATGATTCTACCTTATTTGGTTTTGATGTTCAAGCAGGTGAAATATCTATTTACACAATCAGAGATGCTCAACAATTTAAATAATCAACTTTTATAATTTCAATAATGTATTGATAATTCTTATTTCACTATTAATTATCTGAAGTTGATCTATTTTTAAATATTTTGAAATTAATTTAAATATTTTTTAGTTGTATGCAATTTATATATATATTTTTTTATTTTGTGTTAATTTTTTAATTTTTAATAATATATTGTTAAGAAAAAAAAAACAAGAGAAAAAAAAAAAATTAAATTTTATCCGTCATCGAAACGTATTCCATCGGTTCATAGTCGACTTGAGATTGAAGAATTCCCACAAGTCGAATAGGCTCAAGTCAGGTTAATACGGTGGATGATCGATAACAGTGATGTGTTTTCTCTCAAGAACTCACTTGTTATCATGTTTTTAATTGAAACAAAAACTACTGACATTTTTGGTGAGGTCGTAAGATGCGACTCCACAATTCATGTAGAATTTTAAGATAAAATAATGTTTTCATAGTCTTTTCTTCTGACTTTTTACGATAAAATCACTGTTGTTTCAAGTAACAAGTCTTTCATGTAGCAATCGAAGTCTTTCAAAGAGTCACGACAATCGTATCGGCGCATATACCTAACTACCAATAGATGGCTTTATTACAAAAACCTATTTTTAAGGAGTATAGCTTACTCTGAACTTTATTCTATGATCTCATTAAGAATAACAAAATAAATAGACTAAGCAATTTTCACTGTCCATTTATCTGTTTATATATATCTGTCATTGAGTCTAAATGTCCATTTGACAAAAATAGATTATCTTCTTGATTCTTGATTCTTCTTCTTGAGTTAGTGCTATTACGCACTTTTACTCTATAATGGCTGGGGTGCTTATATCTACCCCACACTAGGTCTTAACTGGGTTAAGAAATCATATCATTTCTTTGTCTTTTAGTTGATGACGGACCTTAAATCAGCATATCTTCCTGAGAGTCCAGAAGTGGACTTGAGGATTGTTAAGGCGGGGTTAAGTAGCGTATCAACTTTAGCAAATAATTTTAGAGTTCTGTCTCTGATATATTTTTTCACTGAGTCAATCCTAAGATCTGTAAAAACTATTATAAAACTATTATTAGGACAACGACATCATTGTTTATGCATGTCTAATCAAATTGGACTTTAGAAAGCATCGTTACACCCGGTTGGCCATAATCCATGTCTATAAATCTAAATATTCCATGTCTATAAATGAATATCTTTGGTCTATACCAAATAATTTTATAAAGCAACTAATTATGAGCACTCCACTCTGTTCTTGATAGTTTTAAACCTATCTTACAACTTTATAGAAGAAACTCTTTAAAATCCTTTTCTAATTATTTATGGTACGATCTCATCCCAAAGTTCAGTTGATTGAGTAAAATATTTATTTCTGCTAAGATGAGTGCTGCGCTTGAGTGCTGCGGCTTTCCGTTTAATTAAAGCAATTCTTTTTTTGCTATTTATAACTCAAGTAACGATTTAATCGCGTCAAATAAACAACAAATTCAAACAAGTGCGAATTAAACTAAATGCGGCATAAATATGCCGCTCGTACCTGTTTCGGTGCTGCAATATCGTTTTTAAGTCCTCATAAAATTTCGTTTCGCTTTTTTATGTCATGATTAAGTGTCAATTCGTTTAGCGGCTCAAGACGGCCTTTATCCGAAATTCCGTAATAAAATCATATGAAAATATAAAAATCCTGAAAGCGCACAAAATCTGTTTTGACTTTGTACAAATAACCATTAAATCTTTCGACTTGGCTTAATGTGACTGGAGACCTCAAGCCAAATCGGTGCCTTTGCCAGTGAACAGGCAACAGGCAACTGCCAACTGGCAACTGGCAACTGACTCCAACCATTTGCGGCACTTGCAAGTATTTACGCAGGCTAGATATTGTATTCACAGCGCTGATGCGGTACTCAACTTAATCTTACACTTGCGTATTAAAAACTTATTCTGCAACACTCTCGAGCTCGAACTCGACCGGCGTTCTTAGAATCCCGAAGATACTTTCATATTTACAGGTTTTGTGTGCGTACTTAATACGCTTCTGAGTTATTGTTGCCGTCTAGCGTTGCTCGCTTATGGGTGAGCGTGAGTGTGCGTTTCTCCAACTTTTTATCTGTTATAATTCGTATTATTTTATGCATACGTTTAAGTTTTCCTGAAGTGTTGCTGTTAATTTTTATAGCCAATTTATCTATAGAAATGTTGAACTATTTCATATGGTTTTTATGTCTTTTAACAGTTCATTAATTTCCTCTGCATCAATGAAAGTTGGAGTTCATTAATTTGTGCTCAAACATGATTTTCTACTTCTTAGTTTCATTTTGTTACTGTGACTGCAGTTGTTGGCTTGTGAGACTATAAAAGTATCTAAGAAGTTTAATATGTTAAGCTAAACGTTAAAGAAACTTTTTATGAGTTAATTTTGTAGCTGTAAAATGTGTTAAAATGCGGCATAATTTTCTTCGATTATATGGGCTTTACATTTTTAATTAATGTTGGGTTTGTGTTTTTAAGATCAACACCATCAATTTATTATATCCGATTAGATTTTAAAAAAGCTACAAGTAATATAGTTTTTGAAATGTTTATATATATATTGTAGAAGTTATTTTATACAATGTGTTTAAAAGAAGGTTTGGGACTAGCAAAGCTAAAACGTTTGTGAGTATTCGACCGAGCAAAATATGTTTAAAACTTCAATTTATATATATATATATATATATATGTTAGGAAGTTGGGACAGCACACTGTCCAACAAGTGGCCCCACTGAGTTGAAGGATTACTCGAAGTAGACCACGAAACGACTTGGGTCCTTTTTCGTCCTTCGATTCTCGGATGCTGTTATTGAGTTCAAGCTGGAGTAGCTTCCGTTCGCATAACTACATCTTTTGTTAATGCAAGCAGTTCATTTAGCTTGAGGTTTCCTGCTAAGTCATCACCAACCCAATGGTGTCCCTAAACTTCAATTTACTGACTTAAAGATATAATACACTGTTCTCTATGTGAAGCAGTTTAATAACGTCAATGTCATTATAGCGAATATCGACAATCAAATTCTATTCATGGAAGACAGTTTGGCCTGGAAACTTATTATAAAGTGTGACATTATGACTTGCAGAGATGAATTTACTACGAACAATTCTGTTTTGAATAATAATCGAAGAAAATGGTAAGCATTATCTTGATATAGTCAAAAAGAGTCAAAACTCTCATTGGTCCATCGACATTGTCGTTTGTATATGTCAAACCAAATTTAACTATAGAATCGATCATTACACCAAGTTGGAAGTTATAATATTTTCTGTTGTTAAAAATGATTTCAACCGTAATCTATATTCCGTATGTACCAGATTTGAAGGAATAATGATCGCTGTATACGAAGGTTTCATTAAATTTGAACTGAGCATTTCATTGTTTGAATAGACAGCTTTTTTTTTGAAAGTATTATAAAGGTTTGCATATATACACTGAAAATAAATGCACAACATTTCTTTTCTAGTAGAAGATTACGTGATAAGAGCGACAATTCAGCAAGGTTGCATTTTTTGTCGTGTAGTTTTACATTATTAGTAAAATTCAAATGCCGTTATTTAAAATACCACAATGGAAACAAATATTGGATTATATAAAAAGTATCTGCCATTTTTTGGTCACTAGATGGTATTGGTATCCATATATCTGGTAACACTAATCCGCTTATGTCAAGTGAACACATGTTTTAAAAGTTAAATTTTAGGATATATTTTTTGTGAAGACAATTGTGTAATTAGTGACTTATGTGAAAAATTATAAATAGAATATGAACGAAATATCTAAAGAAATATGCTATGTGAAGCTTTATTACCATAAAATAGTTAAAATTGTTTCAAACATTTTTCGGATGTTGTCAATGAGCCTCGGACTTGGTAGTAATTTGCTCGATTCTGTTTCGGAAATGTTGATATCAAATACGCACCACGCTTTGGTTGACTAGTAACTAAAAAGGTCGCTGAAATTTTGCAATTGGTGGAACAAAACCGACAGGAAAGCTGTCAGAAGATAGTGGATACACTAAATATTAACGAAATCACAGTTAAGAATCATTTAAAAAGAAAAACGTAACGCAAAGATGCTTGATGTGTGAATACGACACATATAAGAGCAATAAATTAATTGACCGCATTACCATCACCGAAATGTTGTAGGAATGCAATGAAATCAAACCATTCTTGAAGCGAATAATTAGCGTAGATATAAAATGGATTTAATACGATAATATCCGACGTAGACGAACATAGTCTAAAGTCAGTGACTTTCCGCAAACGAACTTGAAGTCGTTTTCTACTTCGCTTTAACGAAACAATCAAACAAAGGTAACGGAATAGGCTAACCCAAAAGCAGTTGATGTCTTGAAACAAATTGACGGAACTTGTTTAGGAAGTTTTGATGTATTCTCTGTATAGTCCGAATCTTGGAACGAGTGTCTAAACCATTTGCCTGTCGGTTTCTGCAAAACTATCTTAATAAAAAATTCAGAATAGGCACACAGAAAAGCTGCTGAAAATCACTTGATCAACTCTTTCGTCCATAAATAACAGAAATTCAATAAGCATGGAATTATGAAGCTACCCGAAAAATGGCATGAAATCATGAATTATAATGGGTAATACATATTTTATTAAAATTGATTTTCAATAAAAAAAATTTTACTTTAAATAAATATATTAACGATATATCTTAAGTATTTAATTCGAAACACTCTTTTTAGCCTTTTAAAGAAGGTATAGTATAGTTGTATTTTTACTACAAAAAAAAAATACTTTTTATTCGATTTTTTCTGTAGTCCTCTGGTATAAGCTCGCATATGATCATAAGCTATAGATACATACTTTAGTTCTAAAAGAAGAGGAGAAATAAAAAAGAATAGACAATACTATATTCGAATATATATATATATAACTATTACATATACATATATAATATATACTGCTAAGAAGTATTTACATAAGTATTTACAGAAAATACATTTAAAAATTTTTCTTCTCACGATGC